GGGAGTGAACCAACGGATGGAAGACCTCTCTCTCTCTGGCTCTCCTTCTCTCTCTCTGTAACTCTGACTTTCAAATAAATAAGTAAATCCTTAATAAACTCATCAGAACATTAAAAAAAAAAAGCAGGATGGTAACAGACCCTCTCATCCTAAATTTCCTGAAAAACCCTAAAAACAGAGAAACACTGTGTTGATGCTGGAGTTGCTATTTCCTAGCCCCATGGAAGTCTTCGGATGCTGGGTAGGGCTCCACTGCTACATGATGGAGGGCGTTAAACAGGGCACTGCCACCCCCCCACCCGGCCCTCCTGCCCTGCCCTGCAGGGGGGAGGGGAGGGAAGTGGGCGGGAGGACCCCTGAGGGGGAGAGCCCACCGCAGCTCACTGGTGGCCGCAGGAAGGAGACCCCTTCTCTCCGCGTGCACCTCCAGAAGGAGCTGGCTGGGGTGAGAGGGCGGGTAAGGGAGGGGCAGCTCCAGCCCTGCAGTCCCGCACGCCAGGCGCCGCACACTCAGCTCATCTCGGCTCTCACAGCACGGGGGACAGCTCGTCACTGTGTCTTCCTTGTTTAAAATTGACAGATAAAAAATTGTGCATATTTATCAGGTACAACATATTCTTTTAAAACGACCTAATGATCTATCTATCATCTATCTATCTATCTTTCTATCTTCCTATCTATCTATCTATCTATCTATCTATCTATCTATCATCTATCTCTCCTAACCACTGGCTTATTCCCCAAATGCCTTCCACAGCTGGGGCCAGGACTGAAACTGGGAGCTGGAGACACCATCTAGGTTTCCTGCACGGCTGCTAGGAATCCCCAGACGCCTCCCAGCGCCCCTGTGAGCAGGAAGCTGGGGTCAGGAGCCGGAGGCAGGTATGGGACTCAGGCATAGGATGTGGGCACCTTGCCTGCTGGGCGGAGTGTCCACCCAACACCGTACGGCTGTCATGGAACGGCTGAACCCAGGCAGTCAGCACACGCGTTACCCCACAATTATATTTTTTGTGACGGGAACATCTAACGTGCACTCTTAGCAAAATGCGCAATAGCAAAACCCACTGTTACACGACAGCGCACTTGAACTCAGTCCTCTTAGCTCACTGAAACCTTGTGTCACCAACAGCGCCCCAAGGCCTCACCCCTGCATTGCCACTGGACTCAAGGGTGGCGCAGTCACAGTCAACAGGCAGGGGAGTCACAACCCAAACCCATGGCTTCCCAAACATTTCTCCTAGAGCTGTGTCTCCATGGAGGAGGGACTGGCGTGGGCAGGCCCGGGGGTGTGGCCCCGAGCGGCCACCACAGGCCTGATGCATCTTTAAACTCCCTTTTGTTAGCTGAGAAAAATGAATACAGGATTACAGTTCTACACAGATCTGTGTTTGTCGGCATCCGCCTGACGTGCAGGGAAAGAGTCCCTGTGTCTCCTGGGCTCTGGGGCCCGTGCCGTGCCCCCGGGGGGCCTGGGCCCCAGCCCCGCCTCCTCCGCTGCCTGGGCTCCCCCCGGGAAGCCGAGTGCCCGGCGGCCCCCCGCCCCGCAGTCCCGGCTGAGCTGCTATGGGGCTCGGCCAGGGGGCCTCAGCTGGGCTTCGGCGTCTCTGTCTCCTCCGGTAATGACTTCCTATAAATCAGAGCTGCCCTCGCTTTGTTCACACTGCTCCCGGCCAACAGCAAAACTCCCCACCCCGCACCATAAATCCACCTGCATTTTCTTTCCAAATTTCTTTTAAGGCTTCTTTAATTACCACCTTGTAGCCCGGACAGATGCTCCCTCAAAGGGTGAGGCCAAAACACAGCGTTCCTGGCAGGGGTGGGGGTGGGGAGCTTCGGGGACCCAGGGTCAAGGGAAGGGGGGATCCTGGCCGGGCTGGCGGGCAGGCAGGGCACACAGTCTGCAGGGTGGGGCTGGGCCTGCCCCTCTGTGTGACCCCCGGGCCTCCTGTGACCAGGAGATGCCTGCACAGGGCTCTGGGGCCACTCCATGGCAGCTACACTGGGCAGGCACTGCCTGTGTGCCAGGCCATGCACCAGGCACACCCCAGCTCCCTCCTTTCATTCTCACAGCACTCCGGTTGGGAAGGAGAGAAGACCCAGCTACAGAGGTTGAACTTGCCCATTGCTGCCTGGACTAGCGGCCAGTGGAGTGGGGTGGGGTCTGCGCCCAGTAGCTGCTCTGCCAGGCTGCAGTTGAACGCTCAGAGAGGCCGAGGGACCTGTCCAAGGTCGCCGGGCTGTGGAAGGCAGCACAGGACTCTTGGTTCCCACAATCCCCCTCCTCTGGTTCCAGGCCCTTGGTCCTGGTGAGCACACACTTCTCAGGGCTTCCAGGCAGGACAGCTCCTGGCACCATCCTGGCTCCAAGAGGCTGTGGGCAGCTGGGGAAGTTAGGATCCCGGGCTCTCAGGGAACCAGGAGATGGGGGAGTGGTTTTGTGGCTGCGCCTAAGAGTGCCAGCTGCTCTTACTCCTTGCCCTCCAGAGGCAGAGTCCCCGGAGAATGGGCACAGTGGCCGCTAGATGGCACTGTGACCCAGCAGAGTGGCAGCCGCCCCAATCGATAGCGTCTACGAGTAGGCCTCCTCTCCCCCTCCCGTGGGGCGGGACAGCTGGTGTATGGGGCAGGGCGGGCGACACTGGTGCCTGACCTGCAGCCAGCGTGACTTGGCCTCCCCGCCGCTGCCCCGAGCACCGCAGCAGGCGGCCTCTGTGGCCACCACAACCTGGGGCCCTTGTTCAAGTCCTGAGCTCCAGCCCCAGAGGCTGCATTCTCAGTGGGCGCGCAGCCTTCCCCTCCGCCAGCCCCTCAGCCCTACAGGCTGCAGCAGGTGCAGGCTGGCGGTCACAGTCACGGAGAGGGTCACACACCAGGAGGGGGCTCGCACTGCTGGTTCTCTCCTGTGTGACCTTGGGCGGTGCCTTCTCCTCTCTGGGCCTTGGTCTGTGGCTTTGTAAAATGGCAGGGTCTCCCCACTCCCGCAGCTGCGCAGCAGGTGGGTGCTGTGGGGTTTGGCTCCCTGAGTGCACATCTGGCCGTGGCTTGCTTTCCCCTCAGCCTGCTCAGGATTCTACCCATCCCTGGCACTTGGCCTGGTGCTGAGTACTGGCCACGTGCCCAGAGCCTCAGCCATCAGGCCAGGCTCAGCATGGTGGCCCTTACGTTTGGGGTCCATTTCTGGGGGCTCAGGGGCTAGGTTTCCAGCCAGATGTCCATGTGTCGTTCGCAGAGCGACAAGGAGGGGCTGCAGGGCAGTGTTGGGGGGACTTGGCGGGCTGGGGAAGGCGGGCAGAGAGAATAGTAACTTGCTGGGCCAAATAGCTTCCTGTTGGCCAAATGGCTCTGGAAGTCGGCAGCGCCGCCGTGATGCATCCTCTGGGCATGCCAGCTGCCCCAGCCTCCCTCCATGCCTCTGCAGAAGCTCCTCTCCCTTCCTTGAGCCACTGTGCGCCCAGCACAGCCTCGCACAGTTGGCTGGCGCTCCCAGCCCCATGCCTGCTCCTCAGCTGTCTCCTCTCGGCCCCCTCCCTCCCTCCCTCCCCTCAGTTCCATGCCAGCCCAGCCAGCGTGAACAGCGCCCCCTTCTCCCCCCAAGCCATGCTGCGACCTTCCGAGTTCTTTTATTCTCTGTATCACCCGCTCTCCCTGCCTCGGCTGAGTTCCGTGGCATCATGTTCAAGTGCTTCACCCCCCTCCCCTCCTCCTGCAAGATCAAGGCACTTAATTGCCAAGCCAGCCCAGTGCACGGAACGGGGGTCTATTTGGGAAAAAAATCGACTGTACAAATCTCGGCTGAAGCGCCTGCATGTTTATTCCCTCTCCCAGGGAAACATGGTTTATTACCGACACTCGGCCGTCCTGCCGTACGTTCTCGCACGGAGCTCTCAGGCACTTTGATGGGGCCTGAGCCGTGCAAACTATTTTATTGTTCAGTCATTTGTCCCCACAAACTTTGTCAGACAGGCTGACATTAATCTCCACCGCTCACCACGGTGGAGACTTGGCTGGAGAAAGGTATCACGAACCCGGGGGAGGCAGCGGCCGCCTTTTCTGGGTAGGGCGCTGAGATGACGGCCGTGTCCGGAAGCAGGGGGATGGCCTACATGACGCCCAGTCCACCCCCCACCCCAAGTATCCTTCTGGCCCCAGGATTCAGAGGCGGGGGCTGCCGCTTGGGCGTCGCTACCCAAGATGGGACGGATTCGCTGGGAAGATCGAGCAGCGGGAGCATCTGTGTATCCCAAGTGAGGCTGGGCTCCCCAGACACTGCTGTGCACAGCCTGGCTTCCTGATTTTTGGAACGCAAACCCGGAACTGGGACGGCTCTGCCCTCAGTGGGCTGCCTCTGTGGGTTATCAGAGTGTGGCCAGCAGCCGTGGCCTCCCTGGACAGGTCCCCTGGCAGACTCTGGCCGAGGTCCTTCCCCCCAATCCCCGCCACCTCCCCGAGAGCCAAGCAGGCAATGGGCCTTCCAGAAAGGGGAGCTCTGGAAACAGGAACACGATCCTCTGAGCTCAGTTCTCCATGACCGGACTCCGCCGATGTACGGGGATTTAGCCCTCCACTGGGGCTGCTTACGTGTAAGTAAATAATTTCATCTGCTGTTTGTTGGGCACCAAAGAGTGATTTAAATGTCACCCTTTGTTTCTCCTGCAGATCCTCATGGGGTAGGGCAGGGAATGCGCAGGAGGCTCCAGGGAGCAGCTGGTGTCTCACCCCACTTTCCCACAAACCCCTGGGCCTGCTGTCCCCACCAGACCCCCTAGGGCTGGCACCTGCCAAGGATCTCACCAACCCCTGGACAGGCAGGGGTGGAGGAGCCTTCTGCAGCACTTCCCTCCCCTCCCTTCCTCCTCTCAGAACGAATCCTCTCAGAAAGAATTCAGCTTCAATACAGGGGCACACCTGCTCCCTGTGGTCTCTGGAGAATCAGAGCCAGGCTCGCAGGGGCCCAGCCCTGACCCCCAGCCCACAGCCTGCACAGTCACTCTGCATACCTGTGTACTTGCTGACCCCAGCCTCGGCAGCCACGTCTCTGAGCGCCAGAATGCCCCGGGAGAGGTCGCTGGCCTCGGGGTCCATCTCAATGAGCGCGTCAGGCCCCACGTTGCCGTAGGCATAGTTGGCAATGTAGATAGAGTAGCGTCCGGAGCCCTGGGGGGAACAAGGGAGGGAGTGGGGTGAGCAGCCCGCCTTGGCTCTGCACCATTTGTCCCCAGCTGCCCCGCCCCCACTGAGGCGCGGAGCTCAGTCCAGGGGGTTGGGCTCAGCGGGCAGTGCACACGGTAACTCCAGAGGGGCTGCTCTCCAAGGCTGCAATGTGAATGCCACCCCCAGAGTGGCCCAGCGGAGCAGCAGCGGGCTCCTCCTCCCATCCTGTTCCGGTAGAACACACCCCTCCCTCTCCCCCACAGCCACCTTTTTATAGACAATTTTCTAATGTGCCTCCCTCCAGCTGCGCTCGCTCCAGCTGCCAGCCAGGGTAGCTGCTCAATAAATATTTGCTGATTGATTGATCCACCAATTCCCATCATTCTCAGCTCTGTCTCACTCTCTCACGACCCCCACCCCGTCCAAGCTCACCCCAGCCAAGATGACAAGCAAATTCCTGAGCCACCTCCCTTTCCCCTCCCGGACCCCGGTCCTCCTTCTGCCTCCCAGTCCCTTCTTCCCCCCTTGATAGCAGAAAGAAAGCTCTCACTGCTTCTGCCTCTAGAACGCTGTCTTGGGCATCTTCCCCCTCTATGCACCCAGGAGAGGCCTTGGGCACCAGCCCCTCTTTGCTGGAGTCATTCTCTCGTCCAAAACAGTGCTGCTGAAAGATTCTCTGCTGCCTGTTATTAGAACAGTGTTATTTTTTCCGTAGATGCTTCCTCCTTCCCGAGAGATGCACACTTCCTAAATCAGTATTCTAGCTTTCCTCTCACTCTTCTCACCGCTTCCTTCCGAGTAATCAGACAGCAAACATTTCTTGAGCACCTACTGTGTACAAGGTGGCCTGCTAGGGGGCACTTAGGACACGGTCCCTGTCTGTGGGTGGTTTTGGCTTGAAAGGCCAGAGGACACAGAGGAATAGCCGGGTGCCAGGCAACGGGACCGCGCTCCCATCACTCTCCCAGCCCTCTCTGCCTGCTTCTCTTTCTTACCCTATGGCACCATGACCAGAATTTATTTTATTTTATTTTATTTTATTTAGTTTTTTTGAAAGGCAGAGTGGACAATGAGAGAGAGACAGAGAGAAAGGTCTTCCCTTTACCGTTGGTTCACCCTCCAATGGCCGCTGTAGCCGGCGCACCACGCTGATCCGAAGCCGGGAGCCAGGTGCTTCTCCTGGTCTCCCATGGGGTGCAGGGCCCAAGCACTTGGGCCATCCTCCACTGCCTTCCTGGGCCACAGCAGAGAGCTGGCCTGGAAGAGGAGCAACCGGGACAGAATCCGGTGCCCCGACCGGGACTAGAACCTGGGGTGCCGGCGCCGCAAGGTGGAGGATTAGCCTATTGAGTTGCGGTGCCGGCCCATGACCAGAATTTTCATCCCATCTAACCACCTGCTGATTTTACACGTTTTTAGGGGCCGTTTGCTTCACTGACACTGATTGAGAGCCAAGGGAGTCTGACTGGTGGGTGAGGCCCAGGCGAGAGCTCAGGGGGTCCTGAGGGATGTGGGTGCACCTGCAACCACTGGAGTAAGTGGCAGAGACTGTGGACAGAATGTCCCGGAGCTCGGAGGAGGAGCTGCCAGCCCAGAGGCAGAGCATCCCCCTCGGAGAACAAAAGGTTTCCCCAGGGGAGTCTCAGCCAGGAGAAGTGGAGGGGAAAAAGGCTTCCAGGCAAAGATGAGCAAGAGTGCACCCAGGGAGACCGCAGCAGCTCGGGTCCAGTGTTGCTGGAGTAGGAACTGCAAGGCAGGCAGTGTCAAGGTGCGAAGCTGGAGAAGGCGACAAAGCTGGCCCCTGAAGACTTCCCTGCCCCCTCTTCTAGTTACCCAAGTCTCCGGCCTGCTACCCAGGGAGCCTCACAGATCTTGCTACTCAAAGTGGGCCTTAGACCAGCAAAACCGGTGACTTCTGGGAGCAGGCTGAGAACAGAAGCCCAGACATGCAGAATCAGAATCTGCATTTGAAGGAGACCCATGTGGTTCCCAGTTTGAGACAACTACACCTTGCTTTACACCACGTTGGCTTCTTGCAAGGTTCTTCCTATCACAGGAGTTTGGTGTGTGTGTGTGTGTGTGTGTGTGTGTGTGTGTGGAATGACTGGATGGAGAGAGAATGAGGGGGCCGCGGGGAAAGCGCGCCACTGTGAGCCGCTCCCGACCCCACCAGCTGTTAGCAAGCTCATCAACCAGTGGGCAATTAAGTGCAAATGGTCTGCAGTGCATTCTGCTAGAAACCAGGGTCTTTAAATAGTCTGGTGATACCTTACTGAAGCTCCTTGCTTCAACTTGCTGGGGTGATAAAATGGATAAACAGTGATGGTTTATGTGACAGGAGACTGCAGAAGCAGCATGGGACTTGACCACAGTGATTCTGGCAAGGGGCGATGATTCCAGAGGAAGGAGGAGCTTCTGCAGCTCTAGGTCCTGGCCAGGGGCTCTCACATCCTGCATCAGAATCCACTGGAGGCTTGTGCAGACACACATGCTGGGAGCCGGCATCGCGGCACAGCGGCTTAAGCTGCCACCTGTGATGCCAGCATCCCATATGAGCAATGGTTCAAGTCCCGGCTGCTCCATTTAAGATCCAGCTCCCTGCTAATGCACCTGGGAAAGCACTGGAAGCCCAAGCATTTGGGCCCTTGCACCCACATGGGAGACTTAGATGGAGTTTGGGGCTCCTGGCGTTGGCCTGGCCCATACCCGGTTGTTGTAGGTATTTGGGGAGTGAACCAGTGGGTGGAAAATCCCTTTCCACCCTTCACCCCTGCTGTTATTCTGCCTTTCAAATAAGTAGAGTAAATCTCAAGAAAAGAGCTGCACCCACGGCGGCCCCACCGCCGTTTCTGAGTCAGGAGGTGTGGGTGGGCTCTGAGAGGTCCCAGTGATCTGGATGCTGTAGTTCCGGGACCCCACTTGGAGAACCACTGGCCTAGGGTGATCTACCTGGGTCCCAGTCCAGGTGGGGCCCTCACTGGCTCTGCGTCCTTGGGCAAATCCCGCACGGCCTCCCGCTGCATTCTGTCACATGTTAAATGGGGATCGCATTCCGCCCGCTTCCTGGCAGGGCTGCTGAGAAGATGGGATGAGACAACGTATGTGAAAGGTCTTTGAAAAGATGAAAATGCTATATAAACATGAGGCATCATCATTATCGATCAGGCAACGCTTCTTGTAAGAGATCGCTGGCTTGGAGCCTATCCAGGGGCTGGCGAGTGATGAGACGGCCGAAGATGCAGGGCAGGCGGGGGTTCAAGGTTTGGGGCCGAGGATGAGTAGGAGGGGGAGTAGAGAGGGAGGGAACAGCGCCGTGGGGCTGGGCTATTCGTCTGGTGCCCTGGCTCCCAGATGTAGCATCACAGTCACGTGGGCTAACAGGGCTAACTGAACCCCTCCCCTGACCCCTAGGTTGGGGGGCAGGCCTGAGCTTGTGCATTTCTTTTTTTATTAAAGATTTATTTATTTATTTGAAAACTGGAGGCACAGAGACTCTTCTATCCACTGGTTCACTCTTCAGATGGCTGCAATGGCCAAGACTAGGCCAGGCGGAAGCCGGAAGCCAGGAACCAGTCTCATCCAGGTCTTCCATGTAGGTAGCCGGGGCCCAAGCACTTAGGCCATCCTCCATTGCTTTTACCAGGCCAGCAGCAGGAGCTGGATGGGAAGTGGAGCATCTGGGACATGAACTGGGACACGCCCATACAGGATGCTGGCATTGCAGGCGGGGCCTTCACCTGCCACACTACAATGCCAGTCCCAGCATCTGCATTTCTTTCTTTTTTCTTCTTCTTCTTTAAACATAGTTATTTATTTATTTATTTGAAAGGCAGAGTTACAGAGAGGCAGAGGCAGAGAGAGAGACAGAGAGGTCTTCCATCTGCTGGTTCACTCCTCAAAAGGCCACAACAGCCAGAGCTGGGGCAATCTGAAGCCAGGAACCAGGAGTTTCTTCTGGGTCTCCCATGTGGGTACAGGGACCCAAGGACTTGGGCCACCTTCTAGTGCTTTCCCAGGCCATAGCAGAGAGCTGGATCAGAAGTGGAGCAGCTGGGACTTGAACCGGCGTCCATATGGGAGGGATGCCAGCACTGCAGGTGGCAGCTTTACCTGCTTCGCCACAGCGCCAGCCCCAGCATCTGCATTTCTAACAGTGCTCACGCTGGTGGCTTAGGGACCACACTTAGAGAACCACTGAGCAGGTGGACAGCCTACAAGGCCCCAGTGAGCACTGTGGGGCCGAGGACAACTGGCATGAGGAATGCTGTGTGAGCACCCCTGGTTAGGAACCTGTGTGGGTGTCATTTCACCCCCTAGGCAGGGTAGCAGCGGTGGGCGGGGCTCAGTTCCTGCTCTTCCTCTGCCTGCCGTGTGCTGTATGACTAAGGCCAAGCTGCTGAATTGCTCACAGCCCACTCTGGATCTGTCCAATGGGATGCGACAGCACCTGCCTCACTGGCTCATTGCATGGATTCAGACAGGCGTGAGTCACTGGGCACAGGGCGTGGCACATCGTGCCTTTGACTGCCAGTTGTCGGCTGTGTCAGCGCTCCTGGGTTTCCCCACACCACGTGCTTTGCTGCCTCTCAGCTCCCCCGGCCTTGGCCTCTGCCTGCTCCTCCCTGCACAGCGCGCAGACCCCAGGCGTGGCTCAGGTGGTGGCTGGACCTTGGGGGCTGAGCAGCCTTCCTGGGGAGCAGTGCGACTGGTCTCCCTCGTGCCTCTGTCCTACGGGCGTAGGTGTGCGGATGGCCTTCTCAGCACAGAGTGCGTCGCGCCATGCCCTTCATGGCTCTCCTTCAGTCCTCTGGGAAACTTCCCACTGACCAGGCGAGGCAGGGAGCGGGGCTGGGGGTCAGGGAATGGGGAAGAGGCCCCCAGCTGTCAGCAGGCCTGGTGCGCCCAGGCCCTCCTCACTCCCGGGGCTGCTCGGCGAGCCGCTCCCCAGCCCCGCCCACTGGGCAGGCATCCAGGTGGCACAGATTCAGGTCAGGGCTAAATGTGGCTTCACAGCCCAGCTTGGCTTCTCTTCCCAGCACCAGCTTGTTAAGAAATAAATATTTATACCTGGCACCTGCCTTCTCCCGAGGCCTGGAGGCCGCTACTGCGAAGCTTCGCACTGAATCCCCAATCCCCTCGGTGCCGCTGCGATCCCGAGGCGCGCCGACCCCCTTGCCCCAGCTCTCGGAACGGGGACAGAGCCGCTCCCGTGGAAGCTGGCAGCAGCTGGGGCCCCGGTTTAGTGACGACTGTTTAGAAGGCCAGGGAGGTGGGCGGCAGGGGAGCAGGTGACAGGAGGGATAAATCACCTGCACCGCACGGCTTGGGCTCCGGCTGGGCCTGCCAGGACCAGAGCCTGGCAGGCAACCACCCGCACCCCCAACCCCGCAGGGCAGATGGCCGAAGCTGCTGCTCCTGAGCTCCCCACTGAGCCTGCCTTCCACACCCACTGTGTCGGACACCCATGGGAGGGGTGGGGAGCAGGGAAGCAGCCGCTGAGTCAGTGGAGAACTTGTTCGTTCAGGAACCTCCCCCCCCCCCCCCACCTGGGAACCCCTGTGTCGGGCCTTGGTCTGTTCATGGGCGCCTGTGCTGCATGCCATGGCACCTAATGAATGTTAGCTGAATGAGTGAATGAATGAAAGAATGAGCACAGGATTTAGAGCTACGACCACTAACCCATTTTGGGTCCTCAGGCTGGCCAAGTCCCCTCAAGTGCCCAGCGGACATGGCGATGACCCCCTGCTTCCCCCTGCTGGGAGGGCGCAGGGGAGTAGGAAGCGAGTTGTGTGCTCCGACGCGGGCTGCGAGGCTCGGCTCAGTGCTCAGCACCCGCTCCGGGCGAGGCTCTGTGGGAGCTCCCTGTCACGACTGTCACCTGCTGGCCCCTCTCCTGGCAGCTGTGTGCCTTCCCCTTCTCCCCAGGCCCCAGATGCCCCTGCACTCACCGTCCTGTCCACACAGGCCACAGAGCGTCCGGCGAAGAGGCTGGCCACGCCACGGGCCACGTTGACCTCGTCACTCAGGATGTCCTCCCAGCGGTTGTTGCGGAACTTGAACAGTTTGTCTGTGTATGTGGCCACCCCTAGGGAGAGGAAGAAAGGGAGGGCTGGTTGTAAGTTCCCACCTCTGGCTATGTCTCCCGGCACCTGCCACAAGGCAGTCGGAGCCAGAGGTGGAGGAGCATTTGCTTCGAGGAAGGCCTCGCGCAGGTGAGACTCTGCTGGGGACACACGTGTGTTATCAGTTGTGGAGAAAGACTCCCAGACCTGTGAAGACAGCTGCCCAGGCCCCGGGACCCAGGTGGGAAGTACTTGGCTGCGGTGTGTCTGGGCGGGTCCCTGACGGCTGGAGCCCACCCTACGCTGCGCTCCTGCACCTGTGCAGCAGCAAGCCTGGCACTGCCCACCTTGCGACAGCCATGCTGGGCCAGACGGCTGTCTCCAGGAGCACCCTGCATTCGCTGCTGGATCCCAGGACCTAATCTGGATCTCCAAAGAAATGGTCCTGGTTGGTGGGTAGGTCCCTGAGCCCACACTGAGGAAGGAGGCTGAGCTTGGCCAGAGGTGGGGGTGGTTCAGCCTGGAGAGGGATGCAGGGTTAGGGCGGCCCTGGGAGGTCCCTGGTCCGTGGGCTGGGAGCCTCGGAGGGCAGGGTCGCCAGCTCTGTCGGATTCCTGGCCTCCTTGAGGACAGGAAGGAGGCCAAGGCCCTCCAGCTCACCCCTCGCCAAAGGCGATTTCAGGGGTCTTGTGCCTCTGGAGGCCGCTCTTGACTAAGACTTGTCCTGGGGACAAGGCTGGAGCCGCAAGCCCTTCCAGGCGGCCACAGAGGCAGTGCTCTGCCCTCCGCCCCACACTGGGCCTACTTCCTGTCACTGGAGGCCCAGAGCACTCTCACAGTTCGCTGTACAGCACAGGGGACCCAGGCAGGGCAGCCACCGAAGGAGTCGGGGAGGGTGAGCTTTAGAGAACCTGGGCCAGCCAGGGAGGAGACAGCGGGCTCGGGCTGGAGGCAGGCAGTGTGGGACCGCGGAGCAGAGCTCGGGTGGGTGGGCAAATGAGCAATATCAGTTCACCTCAGAGTCTACCTTGGGTAAGGCCATTGCATCCAGGCCTCAGTCTTTTCATTTGCAAATGGGGCTGACAGTAACTGATGCAGGTGTCCTGAAAGTCATAAATGAGATGATGCATGTGACAGGTCTGGCCCAGGGCCCCCCAGAGTGGCCAGAACAGCTGGCTTACTCTCCAAGGCCCTTTACAGGCATGGGCACACACTGCAGGGTGCGGGCAGAGCCAGGGAGTCTGTGAGGGAGTGAGTGTGAGGATGAGCACAAGTGAGAGTGAACCAGTGTGAGGACGGGAGTGAGCGTGCGGATGACAGCAGTGGGTAAACGGCCCCTTGGTGGCTCAGCACAGGACAGGACAAAGCGTCTGGCTTCTGGGGGTGGCAGGGGACCTCCTGAGACCACAGCCTCCTCTTTGGGGGTTGATGGTGGCCCGGCAGCCAATTAGCTGTGTTAATATTTCTGCAGGCAACATGAATATTTATACAAAGTGGGATAAGTGGAGCTACCCCAGCTCCCCTGGGCCCAGGACAGTGTGCTACCTCCTGGGGTTTCTCACACTGGCACAAAAGCACTCGAGGCTTCCCAGTGCTGGAGAAGGGCCTCGGACTAGGCTTCCATCCCTGCGGCTGAGCCAGAGGCCATGGCAGGCTCGGCCCTGCTTCTGGGTGCCTGGGGGGCCTCCAAGGACGCCCCTGCACCTCCAGCCTGCCACCTTGGCCGTCTGCAGGCAACCCTTACCTGCCTCTGCCAAACCAGGACCTCCTTGGCCTGGGCACCTCCAGCGAGCCTGGGTTACACTGTACCAGCTCACGCCAGGTGGCCACCGGGAGCTCCAAGGGCACCTTCAGACTCAGTGGGAGAAATTTCTCCAGCCGTCAAGTTCTGCTGCAGCCAGACAAGAGAAACTGGGCTCCTCGGCTTGCCTCATCATTTCCGACTCCTCCTGCCCACCCAGGCCAGCAGTTCCCAAAGTGTGCTTTGTGGAACCCCGGTCTCTAGGAGTGGCCTGGAGAAAGGATTCTGTGATTGTCTGAGTTTGGGAAACACGCGTTTATCTTGAGGAGATTCTCAGTAGACCTCAGTCTATTACGACTTTGAAAAGTGCTGCAGCAGATTACCTGCTTAATTTCTTTCTTTAACCCAGGCTTTCCCAAACGTACTTGGCATGGAACCCTCTTTTTTTCCGCAGACCACTCGTCAGCATCTGTGGGACCTACGCTGCTCCCACAAGGTGCTGATGTCTGGACAGGCACTGGGCTTCATGGCCAGCCTCCTGGCCTCTAAGCGCACCAGGGACGCCCCGAAGAATAAACTAATTAAGGTAAAATGTGCAACAGCAATGCAGGGCCTTGTAGATCATAAGTGGGAACGGCAAAATCAATGGCAGCCCCTCTGCAGGCAGAGGCCCGCAGGCCTGGGCGACAGGAGGACGGGAGCTGGTGATTTAGGAAGAGCTAGCGCTCTGGCAGCTGCAACCTGGGTAATTAGGTGTGTCAGGAAGACAGATAAACAGCGAGCTGTGCGGGTCGATGGCACAGGCGATAAACACCCGGCCCCAGCCCCCGGCCCTTGTCAGCGGCCGTGCCCGCTTTCTGGCTCCTGTGGCTGCATGCGGCCCCGGGGTCCCTCCCCAAGCTGGGGGCAGATAGCGGGGAAGAGGAGAGAGGGACCCTCTCAGGAGAGCAGAGGCAGGGAGAAACAGGAAGGCATTCAGGGCAGGGCAGGGGGCTCTGGGGGTCACCACCCCCATTGAGAGGCACTTCTGAGAATTCCCTTTCCCAAACCAGCTTCTGAGATCTTGGCATTAAAAGAACATTGAGGTCCCAGAGTTCAGTGGATCTGCAGGTTCCTGCTGTGGACCGGTGGGCAGGCTCCAAGGGTGAGGTCCAGGTGCCATGTGCCGCCAGAGGCTTGCATCTCTCTTCCTGACTCAGGGTGCTTCCACGGGACAGGTAGAGAGGCGCATGAGACAGCAGGAAGACCAACAGGGCACATCACATCCGCTCACTCATAAACCCCATTTTGCAAATGAAGCACCCGCGGCACCAGATGATAAAGGGGCGGCCAGCAGAGCTTGGCTGCGCAAGACACCCATGAAATCTTGGTGGAAGAGGTCACTGTGGTCAGGGAGGGCTTCCAGGAGGAAGAGGCAGACATCTGCAGAGGGCTTGAAGGACCAGAGTAACAGCAACTCCTGGGAACGGAGTGCTTACTATGGTCAGACTTTGCCTGAAAGCACTGTTTTTAAGCAACCATCATCTCATCTAAATCCTGAAATGCCACTTTACAGATGGAGAAACTGAGGCAGACAGGTTAAATTGATCCAAGGTGGCAGAGCTGGTAAGTGATGGGGACAGAGTCAAAGGCAGGTCATTCCGGCCGCAGAGCCTGTGCTGAGCACCGTGGGCCAATGTGGCCAGGCAGGGAGGGAGAGCGGTGCCCCTGGCAGGCAAGTGGCAAGGAAAATGCACAGAGGGGATCTGGAGCCCAGGAGTCAGGGAGAAACATGGCGGAGTGGGGAAGACCCATGAATTCCTGCACTGAAGGTGGGGGGCTGATGCTGGGAATGTCAGGGGAGACACTGTTTGCAGGAGACCCAGTGGGCAGCAGAGTGAGCCAGGGGTGGCCCCTTTTTGTGGCTTTTTTGTGAGCTGATCAGCATGGTGATGATGGCAGTGGAGGGAAGCTGGAGCAGGACTGGTGGGTGTGGTGGGCAGAACAAGGTGGGGGTGCACAGCGTGGGACCGGGGACCCAAGCAGGGACAGGAGGCCAGGTGGGTGGTGGGGAGCAGGAGCGTGGTTTCAGGCAGTTTGCATCTGGGGTGGTCAAAGCGGGGCTGAGAGGGCGTGGCAAGAGAGGCTGCTGGCCATGAGGGAGAGCAGCTCACTCGATAGCAAGGCTGGAGCCGGGGATGGAGAATGACCCGGGTCATAGACTGCGTCCCAGGAGCAGCACATTTGAGGCATAGGAGGGAGGAGAACGAGCAGAGGAGGAGCCGTCGGGTACACAGGAAAGGGGGAGGTTCTTCATCTGGAAGGTCAACGTGTCCAGGGCAGTGGTGTCCATTGTCAGTGGTCCTCCATTCACCATCCTGTCATCCTGCCTCACCCAGCTCCACCCCCAGAGGGCACCCTGGAGCCACTCGGAGGGAGAGAAGGCCATAAAGAGCTCTTCCCAAGGATCACTGGTCGGCCGCAGCGCCTCTTCCCCCAGGGGCTGTCCCCAGCCCTGCAGAGGACCTGATTCGTGTTCTGATATTGGAGGCAAAGAGCAGGGCGACAGGTGTGTGTGGCTGGGCAGAGGCCTCAGCCTCCGCCTGCTTTCTATGGCAAGGAGACTCATGCCATACAGCACAGTCGGGGAGGTGGCCAGCGACATCCCTTCTCCTGGGTGACGCTGGGAAAGCCATGGCCCTGTCCTTTCCTTCTCTGTCAAATGGGATAAAGAGAATGGCCAGCTAGTCCTTCATCAGGTTGTGAGGGTTAAAGGAAAACAGTGACGCAAAGTGCTTAGAACAAGGCCTGGCGCCCGAGGCCTGACACATAACAGCCGTGTTGCCGTCAGCATCGTTGGGGAGCCACAGCCCAGGAGGCAGGTGTGCCATTAGGAGTCACGTGCTCTGCCACACCCAGCCAGTGGAGCGGCAGCAGAGCTGTGATGGCCCCAGGGGAAGACAGGAGCAGTTCAGGCAGAGCACACTTAGAGAAGGGTGACCTCGGGCCCTTCTCCCCATAATTCCCAAGTTCAGTCTCCTCCCTGCCGGCAGGGGTGAAGGGAGGTCTCCCTGTGCCTGCCTGGACCTCTCTCACGACAGCGACTGTGCTCTCTCCACAGCCACGCCAGGAAGCTGGTACCTTCACTCCACAGAGCCGCCAGCGCTCCAAGGGCTAACTCATCTGCCTGAGGTCGCCCAGTTGTTGTGGGCTGAAGGGAGGGCTCCCCGGAACCTGCTGTGTTCACGTGGGCCTAGTGATGAGGCACCTTAGGGGTGCCTGAGCCATCTCCCCCATGGAGCC